GCTGAAGTCAAATAGGAAAACAGTACTATTAGCCTCACTATTTCCTCCAGCTGACATAATAAAGCAAAAGAAATTAGCAGGGTAGATCTCAAAGATGAAGATGAAAAAGAGCACGATTTGTAGACGACATGACACACCTGGGAAACCCAGGAAAATCAAATTCAGTACTGTAAAAAATAAAAATATACAGATGGATGACTGTGTGTAAAATTAATATTCTGAAATTGATATATGTTTATGCAAGTAATATAATAAAAGTAATTATGGACAAAAAGACCCACCAACACTCAAAAGCAGTAAGAAAGAGAATGTATAGGATTAAATTTAGTAAAAAATGTGAAATACCTATGAGGAAATGTTCAGAAAAATTAATTTGAGCATCAAAAAGGATGCTGATGGCAAGGTGCTGCAAAGCTTCAGACATGTTTAAATCCATGAGTTCATAATGATACTAAAAAATGTTAAATGACCAATCTTGGAGCATTCTGGAAGCCCATTTGCCCTTTATTATTAAAAAAATAATACTTTTTTCTTTAAAGAACAAGCTCTTCCTCCTTTTTATCCAATATGAACAGTGCTACTACATACAAAACCAACTAGGAGACAGAGTACAGTTTCTATTTAAAGAATTATTACTGTGAATAAGTGAAGAAGTGATGGTAGAACACCACCACTTTGAACACCCACTGAAATAGTGAATCTAGGTACCGAGTGTTGGTGATGCTAACGGCTCAAAAAATGCCATAACCAGATATCACCTTGGGATGAAAGAATTTAACAGCACCTAGGAGGCAGTATTGCCAAAAATCAGAAAAAAGGAAAAGGAAAAAATGTGCTAGGACAATAACCAATCTTCAGGAACTACAGAAGGTACAGAATGATGTCATTTACACTCTCGCTATCCAAGGCGTGGCTCACAGACCAAGAATGTCATGGAGATTGTAATAGAGATTATCATCAGCAACACATAAAATAGGGCTGAAATATGAGGAAAAAACAAGGTGAGAGGGGGATGGGGTAAAGATGAACTTCATGGTGGTGATTTCCTACCGTGAGGCCATGGGCCTTGGACCTTGCTAGGTCCAAACACCTCAGGGGTGCACCTACTCCCTGCCTAGCTGGGCTGCTTGCCATAACAATGGCTTGTTCCAGCCAGACTGGCCCTCACTTTCTTTGTACTGTCTTCTTGTCTTTTCCCTCAAAGCCGTCAAGTCTCCTTCCCTTGCTCCTATAAGACAATGGCATTTGGCTTAGAAATGAGCTGTCCTGCTTTCAAAAATACAAATGCCACATGATGGAGAACTTGAGAAAGAACTGTCAGCTCACAAAATTTTTGACTGATGCTTAGTCAAATTTATAACAGCCTAAAAGTCAAAATCATAGAGAATTGGAAAAAAAAAAAAATCAAGAAAGAAACGGTCAAAGACTAAACAGGTAGACCAGACAGGTGAAGAACAGGTCTTATTTTAAACTTCTGAAGGCCTTATCCCTGGAGGAAATAGAACATGGCACTTGATGGTATGGATCCTAGGCCTGAATTCTCAGGTTTGATTCTTGCTTCTGCCTCCTCTGTTGTCAAAGTCACTTTATGACCCAGAATACTCATTTACAAATCAGTCACAATATTATGTGTAGCTCAAACTTCCGAGAATGAAGTGAAATGTATTTATATAAATACAGCGCTTAGAACAATGCCTGGTATAGAGTAAGCACAACATTAGCCCTTAATATGACTGTTATTTACTAACAGTAAGTTAAGAAATTTCCTGAAATATTTACAAGATATTATCATCCAATGTTTAACTCAACATTCATGGATAATAACTTTCATCCTTACTTTGGGTGCAATGAGATGGAAATGGAATATATGCACTTTGGTTTCACATGGATTCTGTTTGTTCAATCCATGTCTACATCAGACACAGAGGCTGGTTAACTAGAGAAAATAAAGCCACTGTGCTAAGCCACTTTCCCTAAGAGGTGGGTCCCCAAAGTACCACAGGCCATCAACAGCAATTTGAGTGGAAACATAATATTACAGTACAAAGCTTAGTTTCTTTGAAGCTGGTTGTGAAATAAATAATCCAGAATTCTAATTCATCCTGTGGTTAGGAAGGAAGCCAGACAAAGGTAGCAAGATCACTGATGAATGAGAAGATGAAGGTGAGTGATGCTAACTTCCAACTTGACAAAGCTCAGTATTCCTCAGGGACAGGAAGAAGATATTCGACTAGTTTCCTGAAAGACAGTCCTGAAATTCACAGTAGAGGGAACTGACATTCCAGGAAGCAGAGTGTAAGGTATATGACGCAGGCGACTTACTCAGTGACACCAAGTTACTGTAGTTCTCCAACATTACATCCCAGTACAGGTCCCGCTGTGTAGAGTCCAGACAAGCCCACTCTTCCTGAGAGAAGTCTATGGCCACATCTGAGAACGTCACCGGACCCTGAAAACACAAACCCACATGTTCCCAATATGAAAAGGCTCTGGGTAGGGTGGACATAGTGTGCAGACTGAAAACCTGTCGTATGGGCAGAGGGTAGTAAAGACAGGCTGTGACTGAAGTGGAACCCCCACGTTACTGAAGAGCCCCACTGCTGTGGAGAAAAACACCTACACCCTGGGATTCTATGTACCCCAACCTGCCAGGACGTGACTAGAATAAGCCAAGAGTCCTCTCATCCACAAGCACAGATGCCCACCTCATAAATTCTCAGCCAGTGTGATCCCTATGATATACTTTCTCCTTTAGGGGGAAAGAAAAAAATTCCTACAGTTTTGTTTCTGTGTAATGTAATATAAGGTCTTGTATCTTCAAAAATAAGGTTTGCGTGTTTGAATGTTTTCAAGCCTCAAGTCCATCCTTTTGCCAGCTTATCTTTTATCATTTTCTATTTTCCTTTGTAATGACAATAGCATTTTTTTTTATTCCATCATAGAGACAGATTAGACTTAATTATTATATTTATACACTGAGGTTCAACAAAATGTCCAAGTTTTCCCCCAGTTCTGGGAGTGTAAGATCACCTATTCTGTACTGGGTGATGTTACCTATCACTAGCACCACCCCTGCCTGTCTTTTGTTCTTGATCTAGAGGATACTGGTATCAAACGATGCAGAAGCAGACAGGAGTCTGGCAGGTCTGCTCAACAATATCTATCTTGGCTTTCCTGGCGGGAACATGGCCTCTAAGTCCGTGGGCCCCATCACAGCCCTAGCTGATCCCAAAAGCCACATAAAACTTGCCCTCCCACTGCACACTAAGCCTGAGACCAATCAACACAAACACGCCCTCTTATCTGCCTGGAAAAAAAAATCAGTGGAGATCAGCTGAGAGTTCCTGATTTCTCCTGTGGTCACATGGGACCAACACCTCTAAGTTATCAATCCACGGCCCCGACTCAAATACTTCTCGAGGGACTTCCCTCTTCCATTGCTCCAACATTCCTTTTGATCAAAAACTGAGCACAAAGGAGATACTGAACAGTAAACTCCGTGGTTGTGAACGTCAGCCACAAAGGTAGGCATGGAGCGATATGGCATCACTGTTTACTAGACAGGGAAGAGCTGTAAAGCAGGTAATTAGGTGGGACTCTCTGGGACAGGTGACTTCAGGATAATTCATAAAAACAGCCACAGGACTTAAATATCACATTTCGAGAAGGAAAGAGAAATACTTACATGGGCCATAGTTTTAGAATCAAGAACTGATCAGTCGTCTTAGGGTTTTCTTTACCGAAGACACACAATCCAGAGTAGCCAGAGCTGGACGAGGAGAAAGAGGCATTAAAGTAAGTGCACCTTCCTCCCCAAAATGACTTACTACAACCTTTTTGCTCCTCTATCTTTGCTTCCAAAGAATCCCTGGCTCCTTTTCCAACATCCACACACAAATGTATCTGGAGAAGACTAAAAGGATTCTGGAAAAAAAAAAAAAAACAAGCTCTCCCTGACAGTCCAGGCCACCCAGTGGCACAGAACACAGTGGAGGAGATTTTATTTATTTTCACCTTGAAGTCTAGAATTTTAGCAGGAGGATTCCTGGCCAGCTCCCTTTTGGGGAGCAGGGATTAAGAATTTAGCCCAGGATGCACCTGAGACCTCGCTCCCCCCAGCATATGAGGTTAGTCTGGCTCAAATAAACTCTTATAAAAATTAAAGAAAAAAAAAATTTGGCCTCGACCAAAGAGAGGTCTGGCCTTTGTCCTCAGCTTCTGAGAGGTAATCTACATCACACTTGATAGGGTGGGCTCTATTTTGGGTGCCTGCTGGCTATACCCAGGTCTTAGAGTAGGGGCTTTGGGTCATAGGATATCAGTTGACTTGGAGACTGAGGTTAACATCAGAGCAATTAATGAAACAATCATGTCTATAATCAATCAACCAGCTGTGCCTACGTGATGACGTCCCGGTGAGCGTCAGAGCTCAGGTGAGCTTCCCTGGTTGGCAATACTCCATGCATGTTGTCATACATGGACACTGGCCAACTGACAAGTCCTGACTCCTTGCAGAGAGGACATGGGGAACACCCCTGGACCTGTCCTTATGCACCTGTTTCCTTGGCTGCCATTCACCTGTACCCTTTCCTGTATTAACTACACCTGAGTAGAACAGCTCTTGGCAAGTTCTGGGACTCCTTCCAGTCCTGAATTATTGAACCTGACGCTGGTTTCTGGAATCTCCTGAACATGCAGTTGGTGTCAGAACTTAGAGTGGTCTTGGGTGGAGGCTGTGCCCTCGGACCTGTTTGGCTAACTCGGGGCAGGGGGCCTGTGATTTGGACCCGAGACTGGGCAGGTTTAGGGTGCACATCCTGCTCCCTCCAGTCACATTGTCAAGGGTGAAGAGGGGCTGCATCATCCAAACTTGAGTTTCCTCTGGCCTCAGAGAGGATGACGTGGATTAAGACATGACAGGTAGACAGGGTGGAAAAGGGGCTACCCAGGCAGTGGTCAGCTCTGAGTCCAGAGAAGCTGACAGCATAAATACATGCAGATGATCAATGCAAACACTGGTATTCATGGTTGTTCAATGCCAAGTTGGAAGTAATACTGAGACATGAAAGGTATTTTGGATATATTGTCAGTAGGAAAATCAGGAGGCCAAAACAAGATAACACATTTGTATATAAGATATACAAATACACACACACACAAACACACAGATATAAAGATAATGACAAATCATAAGACATTGACAGAAAGAGATATAAAAATAGAAATAGAGGAATAGAAGGAAACATCTTGGAAAGTTGTGTGTACTTTGCACAGAAAAGAGTTAACACAGGAGGTTGGAAAACCCTCGATTCCTCTGCTCAGCTGAGCTTCCCTCGTAGACAACACTGCACACTCACTGCCGGAGGAGTTAAGCACGTCCCGTGTGACCATACTGGGACAGGACTCTGGGAAGCTTGAGCCTGGGTGACTCCGGATGTTGTCCCGTGTGTCTTTCCCTCTGCTGACTTTGCTGTGTGTCCTTTCACTGTAAGAAATCTTGGCCAAGCAAGACTGTAGGGTGAATCCTGTGAGTCCACCTAGAGAAACACTGAGCTTGGTAGTGGCCTTGGCAACTCCGACACCCGCTTTGATCTTGAGTTTCTTTTTTTGTATGGTGTCCTGCAGACAACTGCTAAATCATCTGACCCTATTAGTTTTCACTTTGCATCGAACATTATTAGAAAAAATACGTAAGGTATAAAACTTAGGAAATAAATTCCATTTATCTCTGCATAGAGACCGAGCATTCAGAATTATTTGGTCATGACCTGACACTAGCGGCTACAGTGAGAATGAAATCCCATTCCTAGCACCTCTCAGAGAACATCACATGGAGTTCACCACTGGCCTTGACCACAGGCTGCCTTGTGTTTCTTCCCTTCAGTTTCCCTTCCTTGCTGGATTATCAGGTAATACACAGGTAACAATGTTCTTTCTATCATTCTATCATTCCAAGTATCATTCACAGGGTCAGGCATATTGCAGGTACTTAACAAAAGTATGATTCTGACTCAAAATTCCTGTTTTTGGAATGGATCCCAAGGAAGAAGCTGTAACAGTACACATAGATATACAAAAGAATGTTCAGAGAATTTTTTTTTAATGGGACAGTTTTTTTTAAAAAAAATTGAGGTAATTATAGAGTCACACACAACTGTGAGAAATAAGACAAAGGCATCCTGTGTACCCTTCACCCAGTTTACCCCAGTGGTACTACATTGCATAGAACTACAGCACAATATTGCTATGTTGGGATGTTGACACTGAAACAATCCATTGATTTTATTAAGATTTTTGAGGGAATTATTTTTAAAAATGAAAAAAAGTAGAAATATAAATATCTCACCATAGAGGACAGAGTAAATAAATTATGGTCTGCTATAAGGGCATACAGCATATTTATTAATAATATCGATTTATATTAATTGAGAAAGAAATTTAAGATAAATTACCAAGCGAAGAAGGCAGGTTTAAAAAGATATGTATAATATACAATGGAATATTACTCAGCCATAAAAAAAAAAAAAATGAAACCTTAAACCATTTACAACAAACAACATGGATGGACCTAGAGGGTATTATGCTAAGTGAAAGAAGTAAGACAAATAAAAATACCATATGATCCCACTTCTATGTGGAATCTAAGAAACAAAATAAACGGCCAAACAAAATGAAAACAGACTCATAGATTCAGAGAACAAACTGGTGGTTGCTGGATGGGAGGGGGTTAAAGGGTTGGGTGAGAAAAGTGAAGAGATTAAGAAGTACGAACTCGTAGTTACAAAATGGTCACAGGATGTGATATACAGCACAGGGAATAGAGTCAATGATATTGTGATAACTATGTATGGTGCCAGGTGGGGACTAGACTAATTGGGGGGATCACCTGTAAATCATATAAATGTCTAACCATTGAAACTAATATAAAATTAAATTAAATTTTTAAAAAGGTATGTATAATTTGGGAGAAGTCTTAATTATATGAAATTAAGAACAAAGGCTCTGTGATCTGGCTTTCTGGATGTGAATCTCAGCTCTGACAGTCACTAACTTCACAGTGTCTGTTCCCCATGGGTAAGACTGGGGTAAAAATAGTACCTACCAGGTCTGGCTGTCTCATCTATTAAGAAGATAATCTACATAAAACACAGTACGTAGTAATTATTTAATACAAGTAAGCCATTATTATTGAGGATCAATAACATTACAAATCTTTCAATCTGTTTTTATAAAAGAAACCCAAGCCTGCTGTGTCTCTTTTTTCTTATACAAAAAAGTGTTTCTCAACTCTGCTGTTTATATAATCACTGTTAACTAAAAACTTTCAAAGCCTCTTAAGAATGAAATTCTTTTTAACTAACAATGTTTGCAAACAAAAGAAGAAAAAAAAAAGATTCTGAGGCACAGAATGAGGAAACATTCCGTACCCACCAGCAAAGAGACGGACAGCCAGCATTTTGCATCAAAAATCCAGCTGGAAGAATCTAAATTGAGGAGATGCCAAACTGAGAATGTTACTGAGCTGCTGACTCTTGTCTTCTATGCAATGTGGGAGATTTATGTAAATAAATATGTAAATTTATTTATGTAAATTTACATAAATAAGATTTATGTACATTTTAAACTACCATCATCATTTACTTTTCTCACATAACCGCCCTGGGAAATGTCACTTGTACAGTCCATATTTGTAATGTGTCAGTAATCACTGTCACAGTCTGTGAGAGATACACTAAAATCTTAGAAAGTCTAATTTTGAAAGGTTATCCTTTCAAATGAATATCCTTCTTACTAAAATTGTAAATGAAATTAAAGGAAGGACCTCAGGTTAGGAATTCCCGTTCTAGACCCTTTGGAGCTTTGGTTCATTTTGTGAACTTGCAAGTCCATCACAGTGACTGTGATATGTACAGTGCTTCTGATCTGTACAACATCCAGACTGACCACATAGCAAAAACAGAATCTGCTCAGCACTTGTGCTCTGGAGACTGTTCTAAAGAACTTTACCTGCATTACCGCATCTTCACCATAATCCTATCTTCACAAAGCTCAAATGCTAGGAAGAGGCAGAGACAGGACTGAGGCCCCAATACCTAGGTCCAGCCTGAAGGCCAAATCCAGCTCCACAGTCTGTTTTTGTAGGGCCACAGAGCTAAGGATGGGTTTTATATTTTAAAAGGTTTGTAGAAACAAAACAAGCAAACAAAAAACAAAGGAGGAGGAGTGGGCATAATTCCCCATACCTTAAGTGAGAGCTGCGTAGAGTGACTTCCTTCCAAAGAGTGCAGTGTGGAAAGGAGGAAAAAGGAGTAACATTATAGTGATGAAAACTGACAAACACGACCTTGGCCAGGTAATCAAGGGCAACCTCAACGATCATAAATTATGTCGACAGTATGTACCCTTGCCATGATGTGAGAAAGTGGTCATTTACTTCTGTGATATTCCACCCCCAAAGCCATAAACTAGTCTAATCACGAGAAAAACATCAAATCCCAATAGAGGGACATCCTGCAAAATAAAAATATCTGACCAGTACCTCTTAAAAATGTCAATGTTATCAGAAACAAAGGAGGTCTGAGAAACGGTCATAGTCAAGAGGAGCCTAAGGAGACATGACAATGAACTGTAATGTGGTGTCCTGGATGGGATCCTGGAACAGATGAAGAATATTTTGTGAAAACTCAGGAAAATGAACAAAGCATGGACTTTAGTTAACAATAATGTATCAAAATTGGCTCATTCATTGTAACTAACGTCCCATATAAACAGGGGAAACTGGGTTCAGGGTACCTGGGAATCCTTTGTACCATCTTTGGAACTTTTCTGTAAATCTAAAACGAATCTAAACTAAATTGCCTCTAGTCAAGTACCACATGGTTGGAAGGTGAAGGCAGAGGGGGCAGCAGAGACATCAGAGCTAAGGTTACACTGACACACCGGCGCTTGCTCAATCCGCGGCCACACACCGAATCACTCGAGCACAATCCCACACCAATCACAGCCTAACAATCTCACCATTAGGAGACACACCTTGGCCTTGTCATACCCACTGACGCCCAGGTCAGAAACAGTGCCCGGTTCTGCCAACCCCACAAAGGAGCAAAGCTACAGCTCACTGCCACGGAGAGACCTCTGCGCCCTGTCACCCTCGCAAAGCCCACACGCAGGTAATTCACAAAGCAGAGTAAACAAGTCACAGCCCGACCGCGTCCCCCACAGACGCTCCCACACATGCGTGTCACAGCCACGGGGATCGGGCCCGGCCGCGTCACCCACTCACTCCCCCCACTCACCCGCTAGTACGTCACAACCACAGGAACAGGGCTTGTCTCTGTCATAGACATCAGTCTCGGGGGCCGCGGCCCAGTCCCTGACACACACACACACACACACACACACACGCTCGCGCGCGCACACTCCCCCCACCCCCACACTTGCGCACATCTCTCCGCAGCCATAGGCCGAAGCTCCACCTCCGGCCTCCTCGCCCCGGGCGCCTGCCTCCCCGCCATCCCCGCCGCATCCCGCGCTGGTTTCCTACTGGGATACTAACAATTTGCCGCTTCGGGCTCAGAGACGAACGGAGCGTCGGGAGGGGGCGCAAGGGTTGAGCTTAACTCAGGATGCTGACCTGGGGAAGTCGGAGCCTAAAACATCCTTCGCGCAGGAAGCGCTTCTCCAGCAGGCAAGCAACTCCGAGAACTCCGAATGGGGTTGTGCCGCAGAGACTTCTGGGAAATGTAGTCCCGCGCCCTGGCATCTGCAGAGCTGGAAGCGCGGCCACTCACTTCCCCAGCGTGCAACTCTACAAGGCCCTAATGAGCTGTGCCGCAGAGACTTCTGGAAAATGTAGTTCACATCGCGGGAACACTCCCAGCCCGCCACCGGGTCTTCAGAAGGTGTCCGGCTCCTTCCTCAAAGGAGCTGTGCACCCAGAAACTTCAGTGTGGGTGGTATGTATGCTAGAGCTGCAGAATCTACAAATGCTAGGAGCCCTGCCAGCGTTTCACATTTCTCTTAGAATGAAATTTGTCCCACTGCTAAGACAATGCACCACATACCCGTGGAAAATGTTCAGAGTCAAGGAGGTAATCGCCAAAGGGTGGAAGTCCATTGGTGCTGATTACTCCTAACGTGCACTTCGGACCTAACTTAAGAGTGTCTAGTTAGTAATCTGTGTGATGTTACTTTGGAATTATAGATGACTCTTGAAAACCAAGGGTTTGAACTGTGCATGTGCACATATATGTGATTTTTTTTCAGTTAACGGTTGGCCCACTGTATCGGGAGTTTTGCGTCAGCTGGATTCAACCAACCAATGAAAACAGTATTTTCAATCCAGTTGGAATCCAGGGATGTGGAGAGCCCATAGGCTATTTTATAAAAGTGATTTGAGCATCGGCGGATTTGGGAATCCCTTCGGGTCCTGGAAACAATTGCCCTGCAGAGGACCCACTTGGCAGTTAAGTTTTAGGGTAGTTAAAAGGCGTAGGCGGATCTTCTACTGCCTGGGAACTGGAGATTTGGCATTCTTACCCTCACTATTTTGAGGGTCAACTGTATGTGAATTTCTACTCCTCATCTATTATTAAGTGGCTGATTTTAAGAGTAATTGAGATCTTCCCTTAAGTCATTATTTTATTTTTTTAAAACTGCTTTTCTAATTCTACATCCATTAACTGGTATATTTTTTATAAAATAAAGCTTAGCGGGACTTTGTGGGTGCATCTAATATTGATCCTATTGAAAAGGCGTAATGTTTGCTTCTTTAATTATCATTTGCTAAAGTAATCAGCTGTTTTAAAAACTACCTTGAATGTTGATAACTTGTTATTTTTGGCTTTTTCTTGAGTTTATTATAGAGCCATGAATTTTAATTGAATCAATGTGTTTCAAATTAGAAATCAATATACCCTATAATTGGCTCAAATGTTCACAGTAGCAATGATATCCTCTTCACAGGACCCGTTTTCTTTTGATTCCATGAGTTATTGAAAATTTTCTTGCTTTTTTACCCAGCCAGCTCTCCCAGGCTCACTTTATTCTTTATTCCAGATGCAGAATCACCCACTTCTCCAAAAAGCCCTGGTTCCTTTCATTTGGCAATAACATTAGTGAGACTGTTGGGTTAACACTGCATTGTGGCATTTTCAGTGGACAGAAGAAGTAGAAAAAGAATGTCTCCCTATTCATATTTTCAAATCAATTTTAGCCACCTTATAGCGTTTTTCTCTTAATTTACTGAATCCTAACTAGATTAACATAACTACTGTTGCCTACAATATAAAGGACATATTTTCAAAATAACAATGGTGATAGTACTAAAATGACTATGGTATAACTGAAAAAACCTACAATGTTCTTTGTAATTCCTTTTGCCCTTTGAATGGCTCCCACTAAGTTTTAAAGTCAAGACAATATATTGTCAGTGATGAACTATTTAAAAAAGGTATTGAGATAACAGGGTAGTTTTTTGGAAAATGATCAAATTAATTAAATACCTGAAACTATATGTCAGAATATGGTACAAATTGATTGGAGATGTATATGTAAAAAAAAAAAAAGACATAAACCTGACTAAAATGTCCATATAATATGGAAGTATGGAGATCCTAACTATAACTCAAAATCCAGAAGTCATGAGAGACTGCTAAAAATGAGAAAATCTTAAAAGCAACAAGAGAGAGATAAATCATCACACTGAGGGGAACGACAATTTGATTAATACCTGGCATTCATTAAAAATAGTAAACAAAAAGAGTGTAATAAAATATTCAAAGTGTTGAAAAAGTTAAAATCAAACAAGACTATTATTATCCAGCAAAACTATTATTAACCAATAAGGGCAAAATAAAGACATTTCCAGATGAACAACATGCAAAGAACTTTTACAACTCATTAAAGAAACCAACCCAATCAAAAATGGAAAAAAGGTGAATAGATATTTCACTGAAAATATATGAATGGCTGATAAATAAGAATATGCTCAACATCATTAGGCATTAGAAAATGCAAATCAGAATGAAATATTACACCCACTACAATGGCTACAATATAAAAGAGTGAGAATACTGTTCCACAAGCTGTGGAGAAACTAAAACCCTCATACCTTTCTGCTCAGAGTGTAAAATAGTACAGCGCCTCCCATTAAAAAAGCAAACACACATATTTAAGGGAAATTATTATTTTCTAGGAGATTGTTATAAATACTGAGTGAAAAATAACCAATTTTAATATACAGATTAAAAGGAATTAGAGGGCTCTAAATCCTAACAAAGTCTGATTCATTTTAAGCCAGGGATAGTTGCATTGTGATGTAAATTAAGTTCTAAGGAAGAAAAATAAGTCTGTCCCTATTATTAAACATTAGGCTATTAAAAAAAGGCTGAACAAAATTAAAAAAAAATTTAACTTGAACCTTCATTAAATACATAATGTAAAAACAAATATGACTTTAGCCATTTAAATTTAGCTAGTTAGCAGTCAATATTAGCCAAATTCAGTTTATTCTGTTAATTAAAAAAGATTCAATATTAGAACATCAGTTGATGTTATACATTAAAATAACAGAAAAAACATTTGAGCACTTCAGTAAATCTTTGAATGATATTTGATAATCAACTCATACAGAATATGAAATCAAAAACAATTTAAGCAAGAACGTTTCAGCAAACATTTCACGAAACAGGGCGAGGCTAAGGCCCTGGTCAGGGTTCCAGCCATTCACCACTGCACACGATGCCTGAGCCAGGACCCAGAGAAAAGGAAAGACAAGAAAAGAGAATCAAATAACTAGAACTATTATTATTCACAGATGACATGATTACAAATCTGAAACAGTGGACGATTTATTTTAACTGTAAGGGCTAACAGAAATGAGAACATAGGGCAAATCCTTAAAATACTGACGTCAATCTTCCTCTTTTTCTAGCGGTATTTAAAAAATGATAAAAACAAACAGCACCCAGATTTGTGTGAAAAAGCCATACATTTTTATTAAAGGACATAAAAACATGATTAAAGGCTGAAAACACATCATTATTGATATCTAACAGACTACATAAGAAATGAAGTTGTTGAGTATTAGGTGATCTGGTTAAACTAGTTTTTAATGATTAATAGAAAAGATAATCATTACTATTATGAGTAAAATTGGGTCCCCCTCCAAAAAATATGTTGCAGTCCAAACCCCACTTCAACGTGTGATCTTATTTGAAAATAGGGTCACTGCTGATGTAGTTGGTTAAGATAAGATTATACTAGAGTTGAGAGGGCCTCTAATTCAACAACTGGAGTGCTTATAAAGAGAACACCAGTCTACAGCCATGCCACCCTGAACAAGCCTGATCCTGTCTGATCTCATAAGCTAAGCAGGGTCGGGCCTGGTTAGTACTTGAATGGGAGACCACCTAGGAAGACCAGGTGCTGTAGCGTAAAAAAATAAAAAGTAAGGGATTGTAAGCTGACAAGTACTTGCAATCTGTGAGGTCAACCAAGGGTTGCCTCGCCAAATAAATAAATAAACGAATAAAAATGCCATATGAAGAGACACAAGAGAGAACGTCTTGTAAAGATAAAAGATTGGAGTGATATACCTACAAGCCAAGGCATCTCACCTCAAAGACTGCCAGCAAACACCAGAAGGTAGAATAGGCTAGGAAGGACTCTCCCTTACAGATTTCAGAATGAACATGGCCCTGCCCATACTTTGATTTCATCGGACTTAAAACCTAGAGAATTATGAGTTAATAAATTTATTTTAAGCCACCCGATTTGTGGTACTTTGTGATGGCACCCCTAGGAAATACATACACCTACCACCCACAATGAAACAGTGTAAAGTTACAAAATACTGAAGAATATTTCAACATCTAATGATTAGAAAGGCATTGAAACCGCATCTGAATCTGATATATTTAAAAGGAAAAAGTAATCTGAAATTAAAGAAAAATGTAATAAACGTGGGATCAAATTTGGATCAAATTTAAATCAAATTTGAGGATACAAGAATGGAATGAAGATGCTCCTTGCATGGGAAGATCACTTTCCAGTGGGGGATTGGGGCTGTAAACACAACGCAACTAGCACTGTCATGGCGGAAGACTTGAGATGAAAAAAACGGGTTTTACGGGTCAGGAGTCTATCACCTTGCCCAAGGCAGGGGACTCCCGAGGTAGTAAATGCGAAGGAGAGGCCAGGGGAGAGGCAAGTCCTGGCCCCAAGAACGCCATGAGTGGTGGTTAGTGGTGGTGAGACAGGTGTGGTCTGCAGAATCCCAGGGCCAGAGAGAGAACGTGGGATCCCGCCCTTCCTGCAAGGGGTGGACACCCGCGAAGCCTCGAGGAGGCGAAGGGCTAGAATCTGCACACAGACTGAGGACTTTACACGGCGTAGAGGTGGGTAAGGAGGGTCAGTGAAGGGTTTTAAGCAGGAAAACGAGGCAGATGACATCCACAAGACCAGAAAGCTGAAAGGGAGCAGCAATCCTCATTTGAGCGACTATAACCGATAACGCACAGGGGGACCCAGGACTGGGAAGGTCTCCCGGAGACACGGGCATAGCGACCCCCGAACCCGAGCTGTGGAGCCCCGAGCTGTGGAGATGTGTGGCATATTGGCTGGGAACTTGCCAAGCCCAGGTTTGAATGAGAAAGACAGAATATCCCTCAAACAAACCTGACTTCCGCTTCTCGAGATCA